CACTCCGTTACCTGTAACCGAGGATGGCGGATATTTCTGAATATAGGGAGGTAGGTGAGGGGAGGTGGCGTAAAAAGGGTCCTTCAACTCCTGGATATTATATTTCTTTCGTTATTATGAGATAAAAGATGAAAGGTTAGTAAACTTATAGTTTATTCAGGAATAAAAAGAACTTGAGGGTTTTTCATATAGAATAAGTGATGGTGACGGTGACAAACGAGCACACAGTCCACATGATGGTAAGTGGATGCTGTGGCCCATAGATATCTACATTTATTCTCGATTAAGAATCAAAATGCAGATGCGTTGCCACCCCTGATGACTAAGATGGAATGCCTCGTTTTTAGTAAAAAGGGTCTCCGGTACTCTACACTCACCAATCACCATACGAAACACCAGCAGCATTAAGATGCTATTTTACGCTGGCATTCTGTGAGAGCATGGTCCTACCCCGGTTGAGCCCACCCATTCGTGCTACAACCATAATATAGGTGCAGCGTGGCAGACTTTAAAAATGGAATATATGTGCGTTTTTATTCCATGGTAAATCTATGTTAAATCAGTTTTTCTTTTAAATATCCATTCCAACTAAGCTAATAGGTTTTAAGTAATAATAAGTGTTAGGAATATTTTGGGTTGCTACGTAAGTTTAGTAAGCCGCACCCTAAATTTTATGGGCCACAGCATACCCTAACCATCGGGTGGACTGTGTGCCCGTTTGTCACCATTAAAAAAAATATTAGCTTGTTTTTGTATATACTCTAGGAGCTGGCATAAATCGGAATATTTGTGTCACCAAGTGGTTCAGGCGATCGGTATAAGCACAGAAACATGAAACCATTTTATTGGTATTGTTACCATTCTATAAAATTTAGGTTTAGTGTTAGATGGACCTGCTATCAGTCGGTCACCAGGGCGATGAGGTTGTCTCTCTCTCTCTCTCTCTCTCTCTTTATCGGAGGGCGACTGACATTGAAACGTTCACGTTCAATTCGCGATGGAAGATGCTTGGTTACTGCGGTTAATATTTCTTACAATAAATCATTAACTACTTGGTCTCACAAATAATAATATGACGATATAATCGTCTTCATAATAATACACACATTCAGTTAGTGTCATCTTGTATGTATTATGATGGTACCACCTGCCATTCTCTTGCAGATTTATGCAAGTCCAGTGCGTCCATTGTTGTGTTTCGGTTTGTGAGTTAAAAGTAAAGTAGCAGCCTATATTCTTGTACAGGCTTCTCAACTCTAAGAAGCGCATGTGGGGCCAGTTTATTTACTTATTGTGGGACATTCCATCTTAGTCTTTAGGGGTAAGGTTAACACATCTAAATATAGTTGTTCGAAGTTGCTTGTTTCCAAAGGATGTGTGTGTCAGATGTCAGTGGCCATTTACCATCAGGTGCATTGTATTTATTTATTAGAATTAGATTGATTCACTTATAATCCTCATACATTCTTTAAAATTTTAAAGAATTTTTTTCCTTTTAATGTCGTATAATCGTTTCTTTTTGTCTTTACTACAATTTTGTATTTTTAAAATTTATGAATGAATAGAATATTGATATTCAAATAGAGTAGTGGGTTGTGGCAGTAAGCACTCTTATAGGCGAACGTGACTCCAAACTGTAGCATGCACTTTATTATCTATGAGAACAGAATATATATAATAGTACTATACATGCGACTGTAGTCCGATCCGATACGCCTAGCACAGCGTCAATGCTTTGTCATTCGTCAGTTCTGACTATAGTACAGGAGCTAGTAATAAAGCTATGTTTATTTCTTTTACTCCATTGCGTAAATGCTAAATAATAATATAAAATTAAAAAAAATTGTTCAGCCGACTTCAATATAAGTTATTTAAGAATAACTCAAAAACTTTTGGTCTGACCTTGATCAAATTCATATGGGACCACACGAGAAGTACCAGCTTTCAAACAAAAACAGAATCATCGAAATCGGTGCACCCAGTAAATGTTATGAGGTAACACGATTGAGTATCGTCTCCTTTTTGGAAATCGGCAGAAAAGACTGTTAAATGCGAGTTGAAATTGGAGAGAACTGTTATGCAAATATTTCATATTTGTACATTTTGATCGTGATCTTTCTAAGTCGGCTTGGATTCGAAGAGCAAAGAGTATCTAACACCTAAAAATTCTTGAGCTAGCATGGCTTGATTAGCCAACTGGACTCTGCGTGTCAAATATTGAATTTGGTTCCGAGTTCCATTGGCAAATAACCGGTACAAGCTAATACAGTGCTCTACAAACAAGTAATATCTTGCATGTGGTAGAGCCATGCTACAGCTTTATTCTAGTTGTGGCACGAAGGCAATGGGTCGGCTCGACCGGGGTAGAACCACGCTCTCACACAAAACCAGCGTGAAATAGCAGCTAGATGCTGTTTCGTTTGGTGAGTTTAGAGAATCGGAGACCATTTTTACTAGAAACGAGGCATTCCATCTTAGTCCTCAGGGGTAACGCATCTGCATTTTGATTCTTAATCGAGAATAAATGTATATGACAGCATCCACTTACTATCGGGCCACATATAAATGTACCACAATATAGCGGGTCACAGCATCCACTTACCATCAGGTGAACTGTGTGCTCATTTGTCACCCTTACTCTATATAAAAAAAGAGAAAGTTAAGGGTAAATGTGAGACATCCCGACACAAATTTATTTAATACTTCCAGGAGACGACTCATAATAATAAATAATGATAGTTAAATAATTTTGGAAATAAAACACTTTATTAAGTAGTTCTTAAATGGCTTTAGTGTTTGATAAAAATACAACATGTAAATAAATATGTGAGTAAAAATAAACTATAATATTTTTTACACCTAAATAATAAGTTAGTGAGATACTTATTTAAGCGATTATTTGTGTTTATAACGTTGATACTTTTGTAAAATTATTACAAACTGCACTTTGTTGAACGCCTGCTGTACGTCGATGTGACAAAGCCTCAATGAGGGGTGGGCACTCAACTTTGTTTCGAAATATTTCCACCTCGTTCTCCGCGAATTTGAATTACGACTACGCTGCTTCCATTTTTGAAATTAGAGTTTTTAATTAAAGGCCGCATTTTCACGATATCATCGCGCTTTGTCGTCGTTTCGCGGGCAGCCCTATTTACATTTTTTTTTATCCTTTTTGTGGGGGCAAAGGTAAAGACCTGTAATTATACGGTATATCTTTTTTTAAACTCGACCAGATTCAAAAGGAGCGAATCCGAAAATTGTTTTCGCTTTTGTCGTATTTATGCTTGACGGAGGCGTCTGTTTGTCGGTTGGCGGGTTGAAAAATGTAATTGTATAATCTGTTTTCGGAGAGTGAAGTGACGTGGATTATTGTGCTTCTTATAAAATGCACTGGTTACCCATAAATAGATGATAGAAGCGTGTTTTGAGAAAAAAATATTAATAATAACAAACTACTACAACTAGTACTGCTGCAGTGCTTGTTGCAAACGTAACTTTGAAAGGATTCGAACTCATGACAAACTCAATAGATATTATGAGAGCACTCCCATTAAGACCGCTAAGATGGCTTATTATTCTTTCTGATGTTTCAATATCTATCAAGAGCCGCGGTCGCTCATTGTACATTTATCAGTAATACGTAAGCGCCCCGAGGAGCTCGATTCACTATATATAATGTAATATATATATATATAATAATCAACACGTTATCAATATTAATATGCTTGGTACATACAATCTGGGTCACGCATTTTTTAGTTGTTGCTTACGTTGCTTATCTAAGATACGTTTTTATATGAAGATCGTACGGTCTTCAAAGAAAGGCAAAAAAGTTATTAAGTTTCTATTTCAAAATGGTATCATTACAAGTTGTATTGGCGGTGTAAGAATTTCCACTACCCCATATCGTGAAGTGGGTGTCGTAAGAGGCGACAAAGGGAAACTGAAACGGGAAATGGGCAGCAGCATCTTCTTGATAACAACTGCACTTGCCCATCCGCCTGCCAAGCGTGGTAACTATGGCCCTTTTTGAGACAATATATGGGGAAGCTCATGTTCAACTGTGGGTTTTCTTATAGGATAGGGTGACAAACAAGCACACAGTCCACCTGATGGTAAGTGGTCGCTGTGGCCCATAGATATCTACATCTATCCTCGTTTGCAAATCAAAATGCAGATGCGTTGACCCGTGAGGACTAAGATGGAATGCCTCTTTTCCAGTAAAAAGGGTATCCGGTTCTGTACACTCACCATACGAAACACAGCAGCTTTAAGCTGCTATTTTACGCTGATATTCTGTGAGAGCGTGGTCCTTCCCCGGTCGAGCCGACCCATTCGTTCGGATTGTATGATTACACAAATAAGTTATATTATTTATGTTAACCGAAGGATTATTTATGTTAACTGAAGGGCCACTCTCACAGAATACCAACGAAAACTAGCAGCGTTAAAGCTGCTGTTTCGTTTGGTGAATGTAGAGAACCGGAGACACTTTGTACTGGCGCCGAGGCATTTCATCTTTTTCAATCAAGGATATAGCTGTAGATATCTATGGAACAGCATCCACTTACCATTAGGTGGATTGTGTGCTCGTTGGTCACCTTTATTATATATAAAAATATATTACATATGTATGTATATATTATGACAAGTTAGTTAAGATTTTATTTGTATTTATGATGCGTTTTTATTTCAATAATCGTTATTTAAAAAAATATTTCGTATTGAAATAATGAGATTAAAGTTTTCTACAATGTTATGAAATAAATACCTTTACGAATTTAAAAAAAAATCTCTATGCTCGAAGCTACAATTTTATCACAAATGTAAATCGCAAACATCCATTAAATAGAGCTGTACCCTCCGATATAGCTGACATTCAAACGCAAATATCTCGATAGCTACGGCAGAAAAACCCGTCCTTTCAAGCTCCATCTGCGTCACCGGTAGGCAAATATAGAATTTATTTTGAAAAAGGCATTTCTTTTGTCCGTGCGCAGATGTACTGCGCACACGTGCAGCGGCGGGCGGTCGAGATTTGCCGTCGTTATTGCTTCGAGAGCCGCGCGACTGGAGTTTGAGTTGTCGTGGTTGGGGCCGCCGATTGGTAAGTGCGATTTCTGCAATTTTTTTAAATGTTATTAGAGATTATTTCTAGGTGATAGATTTGCTTTTCTGCCTGCGAGTGAGTCTGGGTAGGTTCATGATTCCGAAGCAATTACTGCCGAATAATTGTATTGTTTGCACTGACTTAGATAGGGAGCCTGGACAGGCTGTGGGGCATTCCATCTTTGTCCTCGGAGGTGACAACGTATCTGTAGCATTCTTTGAAATTGGCTACAGGTGTCCATGGACTGCAGTATTCATATATCATCAGAACTGTAAGTTTGCTTGTCAATCCAGTTTTATAAAAACTGTCTGAAGTTTAACAGTTTTTACGTGGTAGAGCCACGTTTGCACAGTTGCCTTATTGCCTGCCCGTTTGCCATAGTTATACTTAGCAGGCGAGGTTGACAACCGCAGTTTTTTTTTATTATTGAGTTATCAGAACGATGCTGCTGGCCGTCTACTGATTTTTTTTTCTGTCACCGCTTACGACACCTACGAAAGGGCAGTAGATTCAGTTACGCAGCCAATACGCAGAGTAAAATAACTCAATGAAGGATAGATTTGGTTGTTAATGGAACATCGCATTCACTTAAGCTTACTCTTTATGTTTTTTTTTTATAGAATAAGTGTGACAAAAGAACACACAGTCCACCTGATGTTAAGTGGAAGCTGAGGTCCGTAGAGATCTACATCTATCCTCAAATTAGAATCAAAATGCAGATTCGTTGTCACCCCTGAGGACTAAGATGAAATGCCTTATTTCCAATAAAAAGTGTCTCTGGTTGTCTACACTCACCATACAAGACACAGCAGCATTAAGCTGCTGTTTTAAGCTATATCTCTCTTACTTAAACTTTGCATCTGATGAAACATTTCCTGATTAATGCCGATTTCTGAGAATGATGTATCACGTTAGTAAACGTCAGTGCGCGACGTGAGCTGAGAGTTGTTTATGTAGATAAAAGTTTATTGACCTCACAATAAAACCGCAATTATCGAAAATGTAGACAAATGTGAAACGATTTTTTCAAGAAAAAAAAAACTGATCAAGTAACCGACTAGTTTCTGCTCCTCTTGCGTAAAAGCAGAAACCTTTTAATGTTTATTTTCTTACAGTAATTGTATTTTCTACTGGTAAAATATTGTGTTATTTTGGGACTGGTCTGTTGCTGAATTTCATCCATACCAGTTTGTTTAGTCCCTTATGCGTTGATTAATATATATCACAAGCATTCACATACATAATACATATTTATATATTTATATTTGTTCATTATTAAGTCGTAATTTTATACGCGATAAAATCCGTAAAATTAGATTTATTCCATTTGTATTATTTAATATAATATATAAAGTAACTTTACGGTGTATTAATTATTAATTTAATTAATAAGTCAGATGAGTAAGTCCCAACAGGCCGGTCATTAGCTCGACGAACCGAGAACCGATATAAAAGAAAGATTCTAAACTAGTAGCCTCGTACCGGCAAGCGGAGTATAGGGCAGCCCCCAGTAGACGGAGTGACGTCACCTAAGACACAAGAAGTCGATAGACGCAAGGTAACACAGGACCGTGCTTTGTGGCATTACTTGTGTCTAGTGTAGGACACGTGTGATAATAATGTTTAACACAAATATACTAGGATTAATAGTAATAGCCTTTTTGTCTCTACTGAATGTTATAATGCGAAATTAATTTGTCACCCTTTATTACTAGAAAATATATGACATTTTGTGGTAAATTCAGAAGTCACACTTGCAAGGATGTTGCTACGTTAAAACCACAAACATCAAAGCGCTCGAACCTAGTAGTACATTTGAAAGAATATGAACTTGAAGGATAAGGGACTAACTACAAAGAATATTTACTTGACTTGTGAGTCATGCTTATTATAATCACGTTTCATTATCATTACAGTCTATCAAAGACCACTGCAGAACAGGCCTCCCCTATAGATTGCCTCGTAGGTGATATAATAATTGCCTTAGTTGCGCAACGCGTGGCTCCCGAGCTGTCAAACGCAGTTTTATTATTTGGAATTGTTATCAGGAAAATACTGCTGCCCCTCTCCTGTTTCAGTTTCCCTATGTCGCCTCTGTCACCGACCGGCTGATATGGAGTAGTGGATTCTCATACGACGCGATTTCACGGTTACATCGCATTTATTAAATGTGTTGACAAAAGACAAATGACAAAAGACTAAATACCCAATCAAATTATTTCGTCATAATATCATGTTGATATCGGCTGTACCTTTACATTTATGCCATTGCTTTAATATCGGTCTATATTCGTATCGCGTACCTACATACATTTGAACATTTAACTTGGTCTGATACCAAGGTTTGACTTCAAATGTACGCGATACAATAATTCTAAGCCGTAAGTTGTCGTAGACTGGTTTCGCATTGTACATATGTGATAGAATATAATATTACCTACAGTCCCAAAATTTCCATGTATATATTTGAATTAAGTAATACAGAATCTTCCAACCCAAACACTGGTTAAAATTAGTTATTGTGAGCGTTTACACGTTCGTTGCATGGGGTGACCTAAAGGCTGTCCAGCCACACCTTAACCTACTGCGACAGTACTACGCTCAAACTAGTAAATGTGTGATGTCAATAATCATTATAATCTTGAAAGCAATATGTTCACAAAGAAGAACTATGGCATTAAATTATGAATTACTCAAAAACATCTTTACGCCGATCTTTTAATTAGTTTCAATATTAGAACTTAAATATGATGATGATGCAAACAAAATTGCTAACATTTAATCCATCCATCCCTTAGCCCTTACAAACTATAAAAGCCCAACTGCGAAAAAATAAATAAAAGAATAGAATAGAATGGAATGCTTTTTTATTCAATATTGATTATTTCGTAATACTTTTGAAAGTATTTTTTCATTTACCAATGATTCGGAAAATACCTCTGTCCTGGGAAGAACCAGTAAGAAACCCAGCGAGACTTTTTTTTAAAACATATTTCACTTTACAATAATTTTGTTTGTACAATTTTTAAATGAATTTTCATAGAACCATCATGGTGGCGATAACCTCATTCCCAGGGGTTTTTTTTTCATTCACGTATTCCTTGATATTATAATAACCCTTTTTGTACAGTTTTTCTTTAATAAAACTTTTAAACTTGCTTATTGACAAACTTTTAACATGTTCTGGGATTATGTTGTAAAAGCGTATACATAATAATAGCCCATAAATATAAAAAATCATCTATAGGTTAAATAGGGGGGATTTTGCCACAGGGGTCACGCTTAGCAGTCTGGCTGGCAACCATAGTTTATTAAAATTTTGAGTTTTTATCAGGAAGATGCTGCTGCCCATCTCGCTTTAGTTTCACTCTGTCGCCTCTTATGACACCCATTTGACGATATAGGGCAGTGGATATTTTTACACCGCTACTATACGATTACACTTTTAATCATCATCATCGTAATAACCCATAACAAGTGGACTGATAAACATATACCTCTAACAAAACACTCCTGAGCCACCTGCTCCCAGCTACTTTCTCCATGCCCTAGCCCATCTAGCGAGAAGCGGCCCTACTTTCAACTCATCAGTACAAGGCTGCTATTCGAGAACCTTTCTTCCGCTATTATATTTTAATATTGACCTTTATGTTCGTTAACTTAAAAGCTTGTTTAAGTGCTAGCTGACTCACTTCCTTAATGACGCTTTATGATGCGCGTTAGTAGGAAATATAATGCTAACGACGACACAACTATCAGAATAATTTATTGAAAATATATTTACACATACGATCAGTAGGCTGAAGTAGCAATGGGTCGGTCATGTACCTTGAAGAACCGACAATTGATGGGGAACTAAGTTTCTCGAGTGGCAGTACCGGTAAGCAAAGTGAAGCAATTCTACCGACCCTTTATGGAGCGACTACTTGGTATGACAATGCAGGAAGTCGATGTCTGCAGGTGGCTCAGGACCATGCATTGTGACATTCCTTGTGGGAGGCCTATGTTCAGCAGTGGATTTTTTTGGCAAGGTTTTCATGGCATCTGCAATCAGACCTTAAGCTCAGCTGTATACAGGAAAATTAGAATAATTTGGTACAACATTCTTGAACGGCCCATCCTGTAATTAAATAAAATGTTTCCTACGTAGTAAGTAGTTAATTTTAATAAATTACAACGAAAAATAAAATATAACTAGCGATCCACTATAGCCAGCACCAGTGCATTCATTCACGTACCGCTCTAAAGGGCATATAGAGGTTGTAAAATTATGGCTATGAGGCATGCCATCTTAGATCTTAGTCCTGAAGACTGACAGTCTTCTTAGAGTTGGTTGCAAATATCCATAGGTGTCAGAAGCCACTTACCATGAGGTGAGGGCTCGTTTCGTTGAACTCAATCGGCCCTTTATTTTTTATGTTACGTTTTTATTGTTTATGTTAAAAACAAAGTGAGCGAACTGTCAGACGTGAGGTCATCACACTCTACGCCCCTCGATTCGCACTCAAGTAAGGGCGCGGTCTGGCCGAAGAGTAGGCACGTGTTGGAAGAGTCTGGGCGTAATATGTGATATCGTACAGAGCGTAGCTCCATTGATTTAATATCTGATAGTATCTGGGTTTAAATTAAAAAAAAATCATTTGGTATTAGTGTAACTGACATATAAATTTTATATTTTTAATAAATAATACTAATAGTTTCACTTTTCATTTGTTTATTCATTACAGCCTATCAAAAGTCCAATGCTAAACATGGGTCTTCCCAATAGATATTAGCCGAAGTTGCCACGCTTGGTAGTTTAACTGATCTGTCTTATATTTAAACATCTCTATAAATTAAAATCAATTGCTCTCCGTTAGTCTCGCAAAAACTCGAAAATGGCTCGACTGTTTGTGATGAAATTTTTTGTGTGTGTGTGAGTGGGTCCCTGGATGGTTTAGATTCACAATTGGACCCGGTAGGTGGCGTTGTTGGAGAGATCCAGGAAGAACCCGTGT